GTGCTTCTTTCCAAAGAAATCACTTGCCAGAAAGAAAGACAAAATGATGGTTGCCATTAATGGCAGCATTGATTTGACAGTTTTATTTGAAAGTTTTTCCCTACTTCTTTGGAGACTTAATTTTCTAGAGTTAAAAATGAGGGCTGCCCACAGCTCTTTCTCATTATTCATTTGTGGGTTTTTTTTTTTTTTTTTTTTGGTGGTGTTGGGGGTTGTGCCACATGTGCCTGTGAAGGTTAGGGCCGCTTGAGCGACCCGGTTTCCACCAGTGACTTGTCAGGCTAGAACTCGGGTCATCAGGCTTTGCTGGTAGAAAACACCTTTACCTGCTGAGCCATCTCACAGACCCAGCCTTTATTCCAGGAACATGTTGGCCTCCTACCATTTTCTGAATTTACTCCTTTCTAGTCATTTCTGTTACCATAGCCTTGGCAGTACTCTCCAGTTCTTCTTTGTGCAGCGTCCTGCCCGTCCTGCCTCTGGTCCCCTTCCTCCAGTCCGCTCTGACTCATGGCACGGGGAAGGCATCCTGGAGCAGTCATGTCTTGTCTGGCTCCCCCTGCTGTCCCTGACATCAGCTAGTTGAACACAATGTGTGGGTTGCCCTGAGCCCTGGCTAGCTTTCTCCATGGTTGCCTTCCTTGCAGTGAGAAAGCCTTTCCTTTCCTGCCTAATTCTCAGCCTCTTTAAACCATGCCGTCCCAGAAGACCAGCGAGTTTTCCTTTTCCTGCATCCCAGCAGAGGCACTCACTCACTTACCCTGTGGTGATAACAGGTATTTGATAATGCACAAAACCTTCTGGATACACAGTCAGGAACAAGACTAATTTTTTTAAGAAGGCCTGTGTGTCTTGCTATGATTACTCAGGCTGATCTTGAACTTTGGAGCTCAAGTGATTCTTCTGCCCCAGCCTCCCAAAAAGCTGGCACTCCAGGGCCACATCACTGTGTGGCTTGAACCTTGTTCCTAATGGAGCCTTACATGCTGTAGTGAATGGTATGTATTCATTTTTATATAGATTAATTGCCCCTTTTTGGCATTTGATTTTCTTATATACCCAGGTTATCTGTTATGGAGTCTCACCAATGTCCATCAAAGAGGAGCAGCCGTGGCCGGCTGGCATGCTCACTGGACAACTTCAAGTTCACTCTCATTATGAGGCCACATCTTCCTATCCTAGAGAATTCTGCTTTTTGAAGTCAGAGTCCCAAACTTACAGAATCTACCTACAAATTCTCCTCTTCCTAGACTAGGCCTTGTCTTGGTGGTTTTCAAAGAAATTTCCATTTGAATACATAGTATTTAATTCTTTCTAGTAGACTACCTATGGTATTGAAGATGAAACATAAAATACATCAGTTCTTCAGTGGAAACAAAGTCAAAAGAAAGAACAAAAAACAATTTCTGTGTTTTCTTAAAGATTACACTAGTAGCAGAAAAATAAAAAGGAAACTCATACCCTCAATAAAAAGTTATCAAATAATTAGGGAAAGATAAAACACACCATAAGTAGTCTTTCTCAAAGCAGAAATGGAATTATCAGTTCCCTGTGCTGGGAAGGTGATGAACCTGGTCTTGCTCAAAAGGAGAAACATTTCTTTGCCCAGCTCTAAACTAAATATCAGTGATGCCCAAGTCTGCCACACTGTCTCACTGTAGCCAGCACATGTCCACACTCTAGCATCTTTCTGTCTGCAGCACTGAGAATCCCTAGAAAGTGCATGGGGCTGCTAAGATTCCCATGCCTTCCTTATGTACTCAGGATGAGTCCCCTGGGTTCTCACTCCGAAGGGAAGATCTCTAGATCTTCAGCCTGGGAGCCATGGAGCCATTTAGCCCTTGTCCACAGCAGAGGCTCTTAACTTTCAGCCAGTAGCCCCTACCCCCAAAGGCAAGAATTCAGATATCTATGAGGGGTGTGTGTGTGTGTGTGTGTGTGTGTGTGTGTGTGTGTGTGTGTGTGTGTGTAGTGTGTGTGCATGCGTGCATATGGATATAAGCATGTGAGTGCAGGTGCCCTCAAAGGCTAGAGTGTCTGATCTCCTGGAGCTGGAGTTACAGGTGCATGTGAGTCACCTGACACAGGTGCTGAGAACTGGCCTCCAGTCCTCTGGAAGAGCAGTGAGTGTTCTTGACCACTGAACCATCTCTCCAGCCCATTTGTGGGTTTTGACAGTGTGGAAATCCTCTCTGCTTTCACCGAAAGCCAGGGGAATGAAAGAGCTGGCTCAGTGAGTAAAGACACTGCCCTCCAAGCCACCTGAGGTCAATCCTGGGATCAACATGGCAGAAAGAAAGAACCAGCTTCCAAAGGCTGTCTTCTGACCTACACTTGGGTGCTGAGAAACACACATGTGTGCGTGTGCGCGTGCGCGTGCGCACACACACACATACACACACACAGTAAAAATTTTTTAATGCTAGAAGGATCTATAGATCTTATAGATCACTGAAACTATCTGTATTATAAAAATAGTCTAGTAAGTTCCTTAATTGTCATTTTTGATATTTACTAATTGATCATATGGATTTAAGGAGTTGGAGTAACAGGTTCAGGTAAGATACAGACCTTGTGTGACGTCCTCCACACTCTTGGCAGATGAGCAATGTTGTGGAATAATCTTTTTGTACACTGTGAAGATGTGTCACTTGGATTGGTTGAATAAAAAGAGCTACTAAAAACAAGCCTGAGTTATTGGCCAAACTTTCATAATTAATAGTAAGTCTCCATGTCATGATTTGGGAGCTGGTTGGTGGGACAGACAAAGACTCACTACAGAGAATCCACTCCATTCAATGAGAGAAGATGGTACAAACCATAGAAACATGAAGATGTTGGCCTAGGGTTCTAGCTTGGTTGATAAAGTGCTTGCCTTGCAAGCCTGAGGCCTGAGTTTGATTCACTAGAAACTATGTTCAAAAAAAGAAAAAAGCCAGTGTGGTCATTGCATTTGTGATCCCAGCGCTGCAGCGAGGTGGGGGTGGGGGTGGGGGAGGAGTGAGAGAGAGAGAGATTCCCTGGGCATGCTTGGCAAGGTAGACATCATCTTAGGAATAACAGTTGAAGTTGTCCTTTGGTACGTGTGGGTACAGGCACATGTACGCAAACACTGACAGATACACACAGACATGCATGAGTACACACGAACACACACAGACATGCATGAGTACACACATACATACAGTAAACTAAAAGAGAAGTGTATTGTAGATAGCAGTAGCAATAACAACAAGGCATAAATTCTTAAAGTCTACCGTGTTCCTGATGTTTTCAAGGATCAGAAATAACCCTCTTAATAATACTATTAGATCTGAATACTCATTTAATTTTCTCATACTTCTCAAAGCCAAGAGCAGATGGGATCCAATCCAGATTAGAAAACTGGGGGTCAGGAAAGCTATAAGCCCCATCGTTTGCTAAGGGGGTTCCAAAGGAGGACTCCTAAATAGAAGGCGCTATCATCTTCACTTAGCAGCTAGGAAAACAGTCTGCCACAGAATAGGGAGCTGTAGTAAGCATCAAGGCTACAATTCTAACTCAGTTTGGTCTGAGTCCAAATTCTTGTCTATTTTCCATGGTGTTGTACTTCCTATCTCATAGCTCCTGTCTCCACATTAGAGAGCTGTTAGGACTGAAATCTCAAGCTCTGCTCAAGGAGAGAAAAAGAAAGCATTTCTCAACCCACTGTGGGGCTGAGGAGGGGGCGTGTCTTTGGATGTTAGAGAGTTTTCTCTTTCCTGGTCCAGCCCACTGACACTGTGGTCCAAAGACTTCCTTGGCTCTTCTGTGGAATCCCATGCACACAGCCATTCCCAGAGGGGAACGTGTGTTCTCAATCAGTAATTCACCATGGAATAGAACAATTAAGCCATATAGACATGGGTTTCAAATTTAGAGCTAAATCTATTTTATAGACAATGTTTGCATATTTTACTTCCCGTTTTGTGAAAATCAACTTGATTTGCAAGCTTTGTGAGAGGCAAGGAGGCATTTTCTCCCCACTTCTTCTAGCATCCTCATTTGCTGCTAAGCTGTTGCAGATTCCAAACTGAGAGCCAGCAACAAAGTCCTCACATTGTTAAAGAATGCCATGCTTAGGAGAGCTTGGAGGCTTGTCCACAGTGTCCTCACAATGCTGGTCCTTCCACGGCATAACAGACGCATCCTAACTCTTCTGGAAGGTCTCCTTTTGGCCCTTGTGGCAATGGCATATTTCCTCTGTTTCAACTCCAGTGAGATTGACTTCTCCTGGGTAATTTTCATTCTTCTCCAGTGTTGCCCACTTAGTTATTCACTATTTTTAGCCCATGCCTAAGCCCTGAATGCATATCAGTTTTTTCTTAATTATTTTTAACTATCATAAAGAAATCATTACCCACAAAATTGTACATGTTGAAATCTCTGGTTTTTAAATTATTTTCTTATCAGACCCATTTTAAGAGCCTGCCACATTAGGTCTGTCTTGTCTCTGTCCCAAATCTTCACCAGGATGGAACAGTTAATATCCATTAGATGTTATAAAAGGTTTTTTTTCCACAACATTTCGAATATTAGTTTGGCAAAGGTAAAGAGCTAAAAACAAGAAAGTAAACTCTAACTTGGGTTTCAGCAACAAACTAACTTCCAAATAATATGCATGCAAGGCTCCTCCTACCCCCAGACAAAGTCTTATCCCATCAAGTTTCTTAAAACCTAGCCAGCCATTCTTTCTTTTCCTTTGAAATGCAATCATGCACTATCTGGTCTAGTACTAAAATCTCCTTCACTTAACAGGAAGAGGGGCAGCAGCTGTTAACGAGCTGACCATTTGTGAGGAGAGGGCAGGCGGAGCACGGCTTTAGTTCTCTTTGTCACAGTGGCTCGGGAAAGATGTAAGAAAAGCTGAAGCGTTTGGCTTTCCTTCTCCCTCTCTGCCCCATCGCTCCAGGTACTTCCACAATCTACAGAATCTCAGTCTGGCTTACTGCCGAAAGTTCACGGACAAAGGCTTACAGTACCTGAACTTGGGGAACGGATGCCACAAGCTCATCTATCTGGACCTTTCCGGCTGCACCCAGGTTTGCCTCTCAGTCTCTGTCTTCTCTGTCTTGCAGCGGGCGAGGACGTCCTCCTGAGAGCCAGCTGCATCCAGCCCTCATGTTGCACTAACCCTGTGCATAGAGCACAGCACACTCTGCTGAGGTTTTAAATTACATGGCCACAGCTGCTTAAATTTTCTCCAGGATTGCTACTATAGGCGCCTGGCTTCTGTCCACAGGCGCGTCACATCAACAAACAGGCAGAGCTCATTGGATGACGAAACAGACCACTTCTGAGCATAGTTAGAGGGCAGAGTCCAAATCTCCAGAACTTTGTAGAGCTGCTAAGATACAGACAAATGGGGTGGGAGCACAGGACTCCTGACGAGTCAGTCAGGACCTCGTGACAGGACTGTGCATGTTCAAAACTGTGTTACACTCATGTGCTAAATACCATGAAGATTCAAGGTCTATGTGGGAAAATGCTTTAAGATGAAGGAACTGGGATTAGGGAAGGTGGGCAGAAAGCCAGGTAAAGCTGTGGAGGACTGGGCACATAGCCTGCAGAAGCATTTACCCCCTCATGCATAGTTTCTTCTGCTCTCCATAGTTTCCATAGATTCCAGCTGTACTTCTTATAACTAATTTCCTAACATGTTTCTGTGTATGTTTAGATATTAATGCCCTACTATGTTCTTTATAATACAACATGGGTGAGAACTAGCTAAAATGCATGTCTAACCATAACTAGCTGTAGACACCATTTATTGACTTGCTTTGTATTAGATCAGACTTAGCCCTCATGCAGTGGATTGCTTGTGTGGGTTATTTGCTCACTTACCAAGGTTCCAGGTGGTCGAATAAATTGACCAGTATCACACATCTGATAGAAGTCTATGGTGTAGGTCAAGTGGTGAGCCCTGGAGGTGGGGACCGTGGGGACAGCAAATGGATAGACTTCTCACACAGGCACACACACGCTGCCTGACGTGCTTTCTGAGTGTTCTAGGTGGGAGAAGGAAGGCACAAGGACTCGCTAAGGTTGGAAATGTGGAGAATGGATACTTCATGAAACTGGCCTGCGATGTGCGTCACCACTGGCAAGGCCCTATGATGGAGGCACCTTTATCTACCTCAGTTTGCCTAAACCTCAGATGGCTTCTCTTCCCTGGCCCTCCAGTGTCTCTTTTTCTAGAGCACTTACTTATTCAGAAAACAGGGAACTGCAGGGACTGTATTCGTTCTCTTCCTCCTTTGAGATCGAAAGCTTTTGAAAAATCTTTGTGATAGTTTTACAGCCTAGGAATGTCTTCGTCCAGGATCTGGGAGCTGTCCCTGTGACATAATCACATTAAAGAAGATAGTGTCTCATCTCCCAGGTTCCGAGGGAGGTAGAACCCCAACTTAGATGAGTGCCAATTAGGAAACACAGACACTCCTATCACAGAGAAAAGTATTTCCAAATACAGAGATAACTTCATGTGCTCGGCAAATTCCATGACCAAACTCTCTAATTGTAAATCCTCGAGTCCTTTTCTAGCCACTCATTCTGGGTCTCAACCCCGCCAGTGGGCCTGACCCCCTTGTTCTTGGTAGTTTCCATGTAGCCACAACATACAATAACACACACACACACATGCACACATACAATCATGGATACACAGTCATGTACACTCACACACTCATGCACACACACACTTGTGTACGTACTTATGTGCACACACACACATAGATACACAGTCATGCACACTCACACACTCATGTACACACACTCATAGATACAGACATGCACTCTCACACACTCATGCACACACTCATGGATACACAGTCATGCACACTCACACACTCATGCACACACAGTTGTACACACACTCATGCACACTCACATACTCATGGATGCACAGTCATGCATACTCACACACTCATGCACACACAGTTGTACACACACTCATGCACACACACTCATGGATACACAGTCATGCACACTCACACACTCATGGATACACAGTCATGCACACACACACTCATGCACACACAGTTGTACACACACTCATGCACACACACAAACACTCTCAAAGGCAGTTTTTTCAGATACAGTAGAGTCAGAGTAAGTTTAAATCTATGTTCTACCGCTGAACATGCCTGGTCTGTCACTGAAAATGGAGCCAATGTTTAAAATTGTAGGGTTTTTTACACACATAATCACCTGGATTAAAAAATAAGCATGCACAATCAAAGGCTAGAGCTATCCAAGTGGGGGCGCACCCCAGCATGGCAGCGGCAAGCTGGACCTTCGGGAGGGGGCAGGTTCTCGTCCTCTGTTGATAACGTCCCTGAGTGTGTGTATTTGCACGCACACTGACTCTGTAATTCAGTGCCTGTTGGCCTCAGCTGCTATTTAAATTTGGTCTGGACACGTAAGAATAAAACTCGGGCTGGGGAGAAAGCTCAACAGAAGGCCTTGCACCTGGGTTCATTCCCCAGAACCACACCTCCTCAGAAGCCAGCATGAGCATGTTTTATGCATAATCCCACCGGGAGGCAGGAGAGGGAGTCCTAGGGCTTGCTGGGCAGCCTGCCTTCTACCCTAGCCACCAAGTAACCCTCACCGACCTACAAGGAGAGCGCCAGGCCAGTCAGTCTCCAAAAGAAAAGAAGAGAAGAGAAGAAACAAGTGGCTGCTGAAGAATGATTCTCAAGGCTGACCTCTTGCCTCCACATGCACACACATGTGCACATGCACACACACACATAAACGTGCACACATGAACACAAATGCACACACTCATACACATACACACGAGACTGAAACTGTCTTCCTAATTTTCTTTATTTTGTGAATTCAAACCACAAGTGTTTGTCTCTTCTTTTTGTCCTTTCTCCATTTCTATTTCTTTGAGAATCCAAAAGAGATTTAGTTCTCGGTGTCAGCACTAGAGGCATCTGAGGCCACTGGGAGTGAGAAAGGGGCGATTCACCAGGTGCAGGTCTCGGGGAGTCGCTGTGTAGCCTTGCAAAGGACCCTGCAAGCTTCATATCTGTGCTTCTGGGCAGCCGCTTCCTCCCCCAGGGGTAGGTCTGCCTCCTCTGAATTCAAATAAGGAATCTGGTCACCCACCGTCTCAACAATTTCCCCATTGAAGGAGGTTCTGTCTCTGGCTTAGGGTTTCTAGTGCCGTGGTAAAACATTGTGACCAAAAACAAGTTGGGGAGGAAAGGATTTACCTTAGCTTACAGACCCACAGCACAGCCCATCACTGAGGGAAGCGGGGCAGGAACCTGGAGGCAGGAGCTGATGCAGAGGCCATGGAGGGGTGCTGCTTACTGGCTTGTTCCCCATTGCTTGCTCAGCCTGCTTTCTTGGAGAACCCAGGACCAGCCCAGGGGTGTCCCCACCCACCATGGGCTGGGCCCTCCCCATCAACTACTACTGAAGAAAATGCCCCACAGACTTCCTACAGCCCAGCCTTACGGAGGCATTTTCTCGACTGTGCTTCTCTTTCTCAGATAACTCTAGCTTGTGCCAAGTTAATAAAAAACACCAACCAGGACAGTTGTGGAAACTAGAATGTGTTTCCTATGTTTGGAATTTTTGCCCTAAAAAGTTATATGTGAACATATACCAAGAGGAAAGATCCTAATAAGACAAAAGACACTGGGTGATTTTCTCTGGTGGTTGCCAAGTGTCTGCTGCATGGCAGGCATGGCGAAGGGTAGAGAGCATGCTTTTCTTTCGGGAACTTAGGACTGATGTAAGTATGCCAAGGATGAAGCTTAAATCTGGTCACCACTGCCCCAAAAAAAGGTATTAAGGAATTTTAGCCATGTGTGTTAGAAAAAATAAATCTGTAGTGGAGAGCTGTAGTGCAGTGTGGAAATCAATTCCATATGTTTTAGGGACAGTCTTCATTCTCTGTGATGGGTAAGCAGTCCAGGTGCTGAGGAGACGTGACTGCTCTTCTATGGCACCAGGATTGTCCACGCACCTGCCTCTGCCTTAACTTAGCTTCCTCTCTAAAAAGTCTCTCCTCATGGCCAGCGCCAAATCAGGGGGAGCCCTCTGCTCTTTTTTATTAACTAGGGCAAATCTCTAGCCTTACCTTATCATTTAAATTATGTGTGTTGTAAAATGTGAAGGAGTGCACACATGCCAGTGTGTGTGTGTGTGTGTGTGTGTGTGTGTGTGTGTGTGTGT